GGAACTTCACTTTTATTTGTGTGTTATCTTGATAATATATTTAATATTGTTTTTCTAAGCTTGCTTACTCAAAATAACCTGAAGGAAGTATTTAATGATTTTTTCCAGATAAACTTGCTTTTTAAAAATCAATGGCAACATAAAATTATCAGTTTTTTACTAAGATTATAAAAAGCAAGTAATAACAGATCACCTGTTGTCTGTGAATTATCAGTAAACCTCTGAATATCTGCTATTTAGTCCTATTGTATTAAGTATCATCAGTGTTGTACAACTGACATGAGGGTATTGAATAACATCACCATCAATTAACTTTTTAATTGAAATTTTAAATTTAATTGAGCTTCTGTCTTGCCATCTACAAATTGATTGGCAATTGAAGTTTATCATTTATGTAGTTCACTGATAAATTATAAACTGTTTAATTTTTTTCTAATAGTAGAAACTTGTAATTGCACAATGAAAACCTTAGTTGTAGTAGCTTTATAAGATTATTTAATTCAGAAGTAGTCAGTAATAACCATTGGTATTCTATACATATGAATACTTAAAGGCCACATTAAATAAATAGGGCCAACTTTAAAATAAATATTTCTAGGCCTGCTTTCAGGAATGGAAATTTTCATTTTCTTTTCTGTAGGAAATAGGAAAAATTGGTAGATGGCAAATTAGTAAGCAGTCTTAACTAAAGAAAAATAGTTTGACTAAACAAAATGAAAAGTGAACTTTTTTGATGGTACAACATTCTAGTCTTATCCTTTACATATCAAAATTTGGTTCCCCATTCCAAGTAGAATATCAAATTCCTTAATGTTTATTTATGAATTTTCTTTTATATATACATATATATATATATATATTTTCCCCCCTCTATGTTATAAAATTTCCTAGTAACTCTTGGTACAGAAAGGTTATTTAGTCACCTGAACTTCTCATTCTTCTAAAAACTATCTGTCCTAATTTTAGGATTAACATGCAGGGATTTTTCTTTTTTAAAGAGGATGCGATTTCATTGTAGTTCTATTTTTTAAAATCCTGTAATTATGTCTGTATAGCAAAGTAAATAAATAAACATGCCTGTAAGACTGTTGAGTAGACCAGTTTTATTCAGCCAGAACATTTTTTTAAATGTATGCCTTCAGGTAGCGATAATGCACCTTCCTTTAGAATCCTTACCACTACTTATTACTTCCACAGCTGCTTCACAGATTTGCTTTTCTGACCCTTGAAGGCATTTGAGTTTGTGACCCTTGCTATAAATTATAACATAGTGAATTATTTTTATTCTTATATTGCTATCTTTATCAGAAAAGTGCTAGTTATGTAAAATTAAAGGTAGAAATAATAAAGTTGTCATATATTGGTCATGTTATTTAATAATTCTTTTAGTAATTCTTCTATATGAATGGTTGACATAATTTGAAAGTAATCCTTTTGTGTGAATAGGGGTTTAATTGATTAAAGCATTATCTATTATAAAGGACCAACATATTCAATGGAAGGTATATAAGTTGCAAAGAAAGTAATGAAATTATCAGTATTGATAGATAAGATGATTATCCAGCAAACCTGAGAGTTAACCAAAAGACCAATTGAAAATGCTGTAGGAATAATTGCGAGAATTATGCTGCATCTTTAAAATTGTAAACTATGTTTAAAGGTCGAGAAAAGGTTGATTTTGCTCACTGGTACAGTTATCATTAGCCCAACCAGTATAAAAACTGTGTAACTTCTCTTGGACTTATATAACTTAAGTTGTATAAGAAGAAATTAAAAGTGTTTATAGTGGAATTATATTTTTTAATACCATTTAGGTGGCAAATAGTATGTAAGCATTAAAAAAATCAATATCCTGGAAATTACTAATCAGTTAGAAAACATAGTGGAAATTATTCTATGTATAAAAATTATTCCGTTCACAGAACAACGGAAACATAAAATGTCTAGAAATAAAATTTAAAAGAAAATTCTGGAATTTTTATAAAGAAATACTATAAAACTCCACTGAAGTTTGTAAAAGGAGACTTGAATAAATTGAAAAACATACCATACCTCTGGGATAGGAAGACTCAACACTATGCCCTGTGGACATTTGTTAATATAGAGGAAACAGTTTTCAAAGCTGAGCTACACTTTTAGTGCTGAAAGAGAAGCAGAAATCAAAGTCCAGAGCTTCAGAAGTGGGGTCACCAGTAAATTACCTCCCATTTTAAGATGACACATTGAAGGAAAAGGATGGAGCCATGTATATGAAAGTCATCTCATGAACTTGCATCCTGACCCAACCTCGATTAAGTGGTCAAACCTGTATTATGATATGTAGACTAGTAATGCCCCAATTCCCTGGAAGAAACAAACAAAAATCCTGTTAGAGAAAGTATCATCTTAGGCCTGAAATTAGTCATGTGTTTTTTTACATAGTGTCCAGTTCATAAATATAACCAGATACATGCACACGCACACACACACCACATCAAGAGGAAGAGGCAGAACCAACAGATAGGAGGCAGTCCAAAAAGTCTTGAGATATTGGAATTATCAAACAGAAAGAAAACCATCATACTTATTAAGTCGAAAAAAATAAAAGCAAAGATAGTACATAATGGTAGGAAGTTGGAAACTATAAAAAAGTGACAAGGCAGATTAGAAAAAGAACCAAAAAGAAGTTTTCAAAAATAAAATAAAAATAGCTGAAATAGCGTGCAAGCTTAACAGGTTAGACAAAGCTGAAGCAAACATTAGTGAACTGAAAGATATGGTTCAGAAGAAGCTACGCAAGAAGGAGCACAGAAGAAAAAGGGAAAATACTATACAGGAGAAAAGGGTAAGACACAAAGAGGATCCAGTGAGACGACCTTATCTGTGTTTTATTGGAGTCCCAGAAAAAAAAGGAGGAAATACAGGCCAAAGGAAATATTTGAAAGGATAGACAAAAATGGATCCCAGAATACTTGATTTATGACAAAGATGGCACTGTAGAGAAATGTGGAATGTTTGAAACTTTCAGTAATTGGTAATTGGACAATTGGGTGTTCATATAGAAAAAATGAAATTGGACCATTATTATAAGCAAATGTCAATATCATTTGGATTATAGACCTAAGTGTAAAGTGCAAACCAATAAAGCCTTTAGAGGATGGTGTCAAATATCTTCTTGACCTTGGGGGAGGAAGATTTCCTTAATAAGACACAAGGTGACTACAGTTAAGAACTTATGTTAAGCAAAAAACAGCATTAAGGGAGTCACTGAGGAGGAAAGGTACTTGCAGTACAATCAACAAAAGACTTTTATCTAAAATATATTGGGAGAAAAACAAAGCTGTAGATCACTATTAACAAGGCAGCCCCATGGAAAGGCAGGCAGAATATTTAACACTTCACCAAAGATGAAACCCAAATAATCAAAGGTATTTAACACAATTAATAATCAGAGAACTCAATACTTATACTGGTTTTGTTTATGATAGATAATTAAAAGGAGTCTAAATAGCCATAACAGAATCAGATAGTTAATATTTCATGCTTAGGATGGGATGCCATTTGGTCTTTACAAATGACTTAGAATTATATTAATAGCCTTACAATATATTAAAACATTTACAGAACATTAGATTTGATCCCACTTTGGTAAAAAAACAAGTATATATGAATATATTCCATTAAATCTGGAAATATTTCAAAAAATTAGTAACTATGTGTGGATGATGGTACTTGGAATAATTTTGATCCCCTATCTTTTTTACTTATTTGTACTTTCTAATGTTTCTAAATCGAGCATGTACTATATTATTTATGTAATTGATAACAGAATGTACCAAAAATAGGGCATTATGTCCATTTTTTCATTATGGGAGTCAACTCGCTATTTTTCATTAAAATTCTAATCCAATGAACCTCTTAGTGTTAGAAAAATGTGCATTCATGCACATAGGCACGTGGCTGTGTAGTATGTGCCGTGGCAACACAGAAATAATATAGAATAGTATCTTTACAAGTAGTGTAAAGATACAGATCAGGATTGAGTGACTGTCATCTTTCCATTTTCTTTTCACTTAAATGCGTCCTTTAATTTTTTGTCTTTTTATCGCAATTACTACCTAATCTTACCTACTTCTTTTTTCTTTCCCCCTTCCTCTTCTCTCCAAAGCCCCCCAGTACATAGTTGTATATTCTAGTTGTAGGTGCTTCTGGTTGTGCTATGAGGGAAGCTGCCTCAGCATGGCTTGATGAGTGGTGCTAAGTCCGCACCCAGGATTCCAACTGGCAAAACCCTGGGCCACGGAAGCAGAGCACGCAAACTTAGCCACTTGGCCACAGGGCCAGCCTGCCTACTTCTTTTAATATTTCTCTTTCGTCCCTTTTTCTGTTCTGCTTTTAGGATGCTTAAATGTCTTTTTTCTTTTTTTACAATTTTGCATTTAGTCTATAGAGAGTCTTGAGCTTTTCAAAGGAAAGCTGTATTATAAGTTTAATTAAATATAAGAGTGGAATTCATTTTGATAGCTTTAGGATCTTAAATTTTCTTTAAGATTTTATTCTTTTAATTTCCAGACTTTTCACAGGAAAAAAGAAGGGCCCTTTCTAAAGTACCTTTTCTGATAAAGTAAATGAGTGTGTTATTTGAAAAATGATTTAGGGCATGTGGTTTTAATAGGAAAGGATTTGTTTCTCTGTCATGTCAAGAGTGGTTATGTTTTTGCCTTGTTTCTGTAGTTTGGGTGAGATGTTATTTGACAAATTAAAAAAAATATGATGTGCAGTATTTGTTTTGCCATGACGTCTAAGAAGCTTAGACATAAGTTTAGGATTTGTTGCTCATCCATATATACTTGTCTGCTTCAGCTTATAATTGTTTTTAGGTAATTTTTCTTTTTATCCTTTTTGCAAATAGAGGTAAAAAATGTGAATAAATATGCTTGTATGAAAATGTATGTACATATGCACACACGTAAGTGCAGTCATACACAATATGTAAACATGCTGTATTAAATTTCTTTTAGCCAACAAATGGAATCTTCTTGAGCATGTTTCTCATTGTTTTGCCATTGGAATCTATGGCTCATGGGCTCTTCCATGAATTGGGTAATTGTTTAGGAGGAACATCTGTTGGATATGCTATTGTGATTCCCACCAACTTTTGCAGGTATAGTAATCTAATAAAATTAGTAATAACTACTTGACTCGAACATTTTCCCAATATTTGTGTGAATATAAACAGAAAATCTGGTAGTTCACTTTTTCAAAACTATAAAATACTCTGTTGCATTTTTTTCATTTATCCCAAGTATTTAAAAACATTTACTGAGTAATAATGTAGTCTTCAGGGTTCAATTTAAATATGTTTTTGATAAATGTGATCAGCTTATATTTTAGCTAGAAATAAGAAAATATGAATGAATTTACTAAGGAAAAGTCCTGTCCTTTCTTTAGAAAGGGGTCTCTTGTTTAAGAAAATGTGCCCTGAAACAACATGGGGAAATACAATAGAATGTACTCTGGACCTGAGAGTCCTGAATTTCTAGATCTCTGTTACCTTAGGCAAATCATAACTTCTCTGAACCTCAGTGTCTTTATATAAAATGCAAATGACGATACCTATTCTGCCTATCTCAGAGGAATGTTATGAGAAGCTAATGAGAATATGAATGTAAAAATACTGCCCACTGGAAAATGTCATACAAATACCAGGAATTCAAAAGATTGGCAATGAATATTATATATATACTTGTTGGATTGCAGTTTTATTCCAACATAATTTTTGGCCCTGAATGTATGGCAGATCTGTTTGAACTGTGAATATTGCCACATTTTAATGTTTCTTTTATGGTTAAGTACCTTTGAAATAGAAAATACATTGTTCTTTGCCATTAATGAATTCTGATGACCAAGTATTCTTCATACTTTCCTTGGCAGAGGGAAACAATGACTTGAAATCAAAAAGTTTTTATCTGATTTCAGATATATGGCATATAAACCCCAAATAGACTATTTGTAGTAAATATTTTCCTCCATGTTAAAGGCTTGATAAAATTTGAAGATTTGCATGAGAAGTAAAAGAAACAGATTTAGAGGGTCCTATATAGTAAGATGTGGTAACTCTGCAGAAAGAATATGTAGAAATAGTAATTTGTACAGATTTTTATTTCATTATAATTTTTATTTATGCATTGCTTATTCTTTTTTTGTGATTGTTAAATGTTACAAATATGGAACAAAATGTTTTATTCTTTTGATGAAAACTAGAATGTTATCAGAATAGCATTGATAATATATGAAGCAAAATGTAAGGTTTTCAAAATTCCTGATAGAAATTTTTTTTCTGGATAGGAGTGAAGATTTTTTTTCTCCCTCAATATTGATAGTATTTTGATTCTGCTAGTTGTAAGACTTTGTTTACCATCTTTACTAGAGTACCATTTTACTTAATTCCAGGATCAGATCTAAGTCTTCAGTTAGTGTTCAGCAGCATAAGGCAATGGACCTAAATTTTAGTAACTCTTTTAAAATGCCATTTACTAGTAGGTAATTGCTTCTATAATTTGTGTACATTAGTTTAGTAAAACTTGAACACAACTTTATAAAGACTGTCTTTTTCAGTACAGAGTAAATATGTAATTTAAAAAAATGCTTTCATGTTTTGTTAAGATTTTATTTCTCAAGAAAAAAAGGTTCTTTCCTTATAGTCCCCACCCCAGTGTTCTTGAAGCACTGTTGTGATAAAATTAGTGTAATCTTGCTTTTAGAAAGTCTTGTCCAGTATCTGTCATTTGGTAAGAAGATATGCATAAAGAGTGAAAAGTAGTACTGTTTACATTTGGAGACATTGTCCCAGCTTTCAGTTTGGTTATTGTTCTATTGATAAGAAATATAATTTTTACAAACTAGGCTTTGATTTTCCAAGTTCAGTTCTTAGCACTGTAGGAATTTTAGAAAAGATGATTTTTAAAAAATCCTGCCATTTAGTTAGCAGCAACTATTTGATTCTTAGATAATTAATTATAAAGGATAAAAATATGACATAGAATGAATACTTATTAACATCAAAATAATATCTTTTTCTCCTTCTTCAGTCCTGATGGTCAGCCGACACTTCTTCCGCCAGAACATGTACAAGAGTTAAATTTGAGGTCTACGGGCATGCTCAATGCTATCCAAAGATTTTTTGCATATCATATGATTGAGACCTATGGATGTGACTACTCCACAAGTGGACTGTCTTTTGATACTCTACATTCCAAACTGAAAGCTTTCCTTGAACTTCGGACTGTGGACGGACCTAGACATGATACATATGTTTTGTATTACAGTGGGCACACGCATGGTACAGGAGAGTGGGCTCTTGCAGGTAAATTCAGCTCTGGCAGTTTCACTGTTGTGAAGATACACTGTTTGTGGAAGTCGGTCCTTCACATGGAAATATTAAATTTCCAGAATTCTCAATTTTACACTTCATAGTTTACAAAGTATACATATGACTGTTTTGTTTTTCTTTTCTCTAGTATACCTGTTTAGGATAATTTTAGTAATCTCTACAGGTTTTGAGAATGATGTCTTATATTGATTGGAAGAAAAAAATCTGTTTGATCTGAGACTTATAATCACTTTCCCTTTGAAGTATTTTCCAAATTATTAAATATAGTTACATTTTTCAGAAGCTGGTTAAATTTTTGACTAGTACCTCTAGTAGTGATTTCAGTAGTCCTGCACATGTACGGTTTTACTTATGTTAGAAAGCTCATCAAAATTTTAAATAGCAGGCAGTGTGATATGGTGGGAGTAGCACTTAAGTCAGGAGACTTTGGTTCTGGTCCTGATTTGCCCCAACCGTGTTATTTTAGGCAAGTTACTTAACTTCTCTTAGCTTCACTTCTCCCATCTGTAAAATGAGGGGGTAATATTAAATCTCTCTGTCAGGGAGAAATGAGATGTAGCTCCATTACATGTAAGTTTGTGTGTAGGTCTTCCCAACTAGAATATACACCCTGTAAGTCAAGGGCTTTGTTTTATGAGTTATTTGCTTAGTGCCTAGAACAGAGCCTGGCACACAGTAGGGGATCCTTAAGTAACTGATAAATGGATGAAATCATTGAATGAATCATGAAAAAAAGGATAATTTTCTTACTTTTACATTAGAAATACTTCTTTTAGGCTTAATTGTACTCTACTTTTTTTCCATAAAAAATTTTAGATGTGTTTCACCAGGAATACTTACAAATAATAAAAATCATAAAATGTAAATAGAAATAGATATTCAGATCAAAGAAAAATATAAACAGAACTATTGTAGAAGGACAGAGGCAGAGCTGCCAATACAAGAACTTCAGAAGGAAGGAAACAAACTCAAGGTTAAGTTGGAAATGATTTTAAGCCATCGTGGTCTTACTAATTTCATGCCCGATTTGTAACAGGATTTTATCATAAAGAAAAATATTTTTCTAATTTTTTGTTTTTGCAAATAAATATTGAGCAACTCAATAGCTGTCCAGAAAGAGTAAAGGCAGACTAATACTTATTGGGCACATTTGAAGCACAGCTACTATGCTGGGTACTTTATACACATTATTAGATTTAACCTTCACTTGAAATCCTTTGAGAACACTACTGTCACTTCTATCATCTTTATTTTTCCAAAGATGACATGAGAGCTGAAAGTGGTTACATAATATCTCTTGGTCATACTACTGATAAGTGATGGAACCATGATTTAAGCCCAGATCTGCCTGACTCCTAAAGTGTATTTTTTCCCCATTACCATGTTGCCAGTAAAGGCAAAAACCGTGAATGTAGAGAAGTGGCATGTTCTGGTTAAGTAGGTGTTTTTTATTAGTATAGTTCACCCATTTTCAAAATATTGGAATATAGAAGAAGGTAGTCAACATTAAAACTACTTGAATATAGCTTATAAAATCATTTACTTGACCTGTAACTTTCTAATAATTCAGTGTAGAAAACAACTTTTTAACCTTATAGCTCCTTTAATTCCTGGTAAAGTTTAGCATTCTGTGTACTTCGGAGCACAAGAGAAAAAGTTTTAGTCAATTCAGAAGTCTTTTTAGAAATAGAATTTCAGACCTAAAAGCAGGGATTGATTATTGAAAACTTACTACAATGGTTATAATAACAAACTATAAATCAAATGGGAAAGAAAGGCATAGTTTTGGTGGTTATGCATATGTTCTTAATTAAGTCTGTTTTTAAAAAATCTTTGTTTGAAAGGAAGGCTTTATCTGTTTTTTCGCTTACAATTTAATTCCAAGAATTAAAGAAAGTACACCTAAGTCAAAGAGTATTCTTAATGAGAGGCTTCAGGAATTATAGTCTACTGAATTTTCTTTTGTTCACAGGTGGAGACATACTACGCCTTGACACACTTCTAGAGTGGTGGAGAGAAAAGAATGGTTCCTTCTGTTCCCGACTTATTATTGTATTAGATAGTGAGAATTCAACCCCTTGGGTGAAAGAAGTGAGAAAAATCAGTGACCAGTATATTGCAGTACAAGGAGCAGAAATGACAAAGACAGTAGACATCGAAGAAGCTGACCCACCTCAGCTGGGGGACTTTACGAAAGACTGGGTAGAATATAACTGCAACTCCACTAATAACATCTGCTGGACTGAAAAGGGACGCACCGTCAAAGCAGTATATGGTGTGTCAAAACGGTGGAGTGATTACACTCTGCACTTGCCAACGGGAAGCGACGTGGCCAAGCACTGGATGTTACACTTTCCTCGTATTACATATCCACTAGTGCATTTGGCAAATTGGTTGTGTGGTCTGAACCTTTTTTGGATCTGCAAAACTTGTTTTAGGTGCTTGAAAAGATTAAAAATGAGTTGGTTTCTTCCTACTGTGCTGGACACAGGACAAGGCTTCAAACTTGTCAAATCTTAATTTGGAACCCAAAGTGGAATATTATTGAGAGTTCATACTACTAGTTATCACTAACTTGCCATTTTTTGTATATTTTTATTTGTGAAAAGTTATCTTGCTACTTCTGTAGCTGCTCTCACTTTGTCTTTTTTCAAGTAATTATGGTATATGTAAGGTGTTGGGAATGAGCATTATTTTATACTAAAAGTATGTAGGGAGTCATAAATTCTGACTCTGTAAATGCATAAGAGATGTTAAAAATAACAATGCACTTTGAGGAATGTTTGCATATGCCTCTGATTAGGAAGAAAACATTTGTCTATGCTCTGCAGTGGCCAATGAAGAATTACTAATGCCTTATTTTCTAGGCATAGATTAGAGAATGTAGACCAGACAATTTGTTTACTATTACAAGAAGACTACCAGTTTGCTTACAGGAGATTATTTTTTGTGAACAGTAGGTTTGAGTCCAAGACCATTTGAAGAATTACAAACTCTTTCTTAAAAAAAGGAAGAAGTCTGCTTGAAATGAATGCAAAATTTCCTTTTAGTCCATCACATTCAAATGTCTTGGTTGTGACCTGTTACCAGTATAGGAGAGAAGCCCAAATCACTGTTTAGATCAAAACATTCTTCATGTAGGTAACTATAAGAGGCTAGTGCCTACAAATTACTTCTTCATGCATTGTTGGGAGTCTCTGAAAGCACTGGCAATTTTAAGAGTCTTTCTCAGGGTAACTTAATGTTTTCTTAATGAACAATGTTTTCAGCTAAAAAGTCCTTCCAAGTATATTATCTGCCCTTTCAAAAAGTAATCTTATAAAAGAACTTTAGCACTTTCTCAATTGATTTAGGCTATTTTCAGTATTCAGAAATGATTTTGATCTCTGTAGAATTAATTGTCTGCTTGAAAATTATTTTTCAAATCCCTTTTAGTGGCAACATTTTTTTCTATTGAAGGTCAAAGGATTGGAAACTGGTTCTTGTATCCATGTAACGTGTTATGTGAAAAAGTATTCATGTTGGCAATTTTAGTTAAGCATTATGGTGTGGGTGTAATTTTTAAAACTTAATTCAGTGTCTCGTCTGATTAAAGCAGGCACTGATCAGTGTATCTCCTAAGAGGTAGTTTACCTCCTATTCCCTTCCAATAATCCTTACATTCTAAATTTTCATCTGTGAGAAATAACAAGAGGGAATAGATTTAAATTGAGGGATAATCTAATCTTTGTTGTTTAAATGGTGTGACTTCTCACATTGAAGCCATTTTTCCGGCCTCAGAGAGGACGTAATGCCTCTACCATTTTCTACCTGGTGACTTGAAAATTGAAGTTTTAGTTAGGAAGAAGTCACTTAGCGTCAGGGAACTTGTATACCACTATCTATGCAGCGTTGTTATAGTCTGATTATTTCTGTGTTTTGAATATGATTTTCCTAATGCTTTGAATAAAATTTTGTTAAAAATTCATTTCTCACATAATGTGCAAATAACACTTATTGAATACTTTAGTATATTAAAAGTGATAGTCACAAGAAAATTCCCATGTATTAGAGTTTACGGTTGGTAGCAGGTTGATTTGAAAATTTCCAATATTTGGTTACATATTTATATCAAGATCATCCAAATGAAATTGTATAGTGTTTCATTACTATTTAGAAATAGTATAGCAGAAAAGCTAAGTGTTAAAAGTATGAGCTTAGAGCTGCAAGAAACAGTTGAATTAATTTTAAGTAAAATCTCTTTTTAAATTTCTAAGCCAATATCGAGCATATCTCTTTGCTCTGAAAAAGCCAAACATAAAAGTATATTCTGCATCCTTTATAAAGTGATATTATTATGATGGTACTGAAAGTCACATTCAAAAGATAGCAGACAGTTGTACAGCCACAAAGCTAATGTTTTAATACATATTTTCTGTGAAAGTACAACCAAACAAGATCTGGGCTAAAAACGTGACTTGAGCCAATTTATTAACCAAAAAGTATAAAATGTCCACTTTTGGTGAATTCTCCTACCCAAACAAACAAAAAACTATAAATGATTGTTAGATGGCATCCTAAATTAAAGTTACCAATTTTAAAACATTAAAGTAACTGATAGTATGGAGAAGGAGTATTATAAGAAGGATAAAATGATTGGTTACTTTTACCTAAAGATTAAAAACAGATCTAACAATCAGACTGATTTTCTTATGGCTTTCATTTTATATATCAATGTTTAGGAAGGAGTTACTCGGAGTGATAGGAATTATTTTAGGGCAAAACTTTATCATTCTACTAGAAAGAAATAGATAACATGGAGATATTTTTCAACATATTATTGACCGACTTTGTTTCCTTATATGATACCTTGCTAAAACCACAAAAGCACTATCCCCATAAACATCTTTTTAAAAAGTGTACACTGTTATGTGATAAATTGAGGAACCAAGTTGTTTCTCTTCCCATAACTTTTCAGTTATGCTATTATTTCATTCAAAAATTGTTTTAGTTTACTCTGATTAAACTCTTTCTCCCTAGGATACTTGGATTTATCTTTGCATAGCTTTCTATCTTGTTCTTCTTAATAAATACAGAGTTCTACAGAAAAGACCTTTTTCAGAAGACCATTTTTATGACCAGTGTTTTTGTAAGTTCTATGCTTTTAAAAAATTACATTGTTAATTAAAATGCATTTATATTTAATGCATTAGTGGGCAGACTTTTTTATTTTTGGTAAAATCTTCATTAGAATCTATTTGTAACTGTATGTTTTGTTTGTAAGTTTTGGCTTAAGTATATTTGCTGTTTTGGGTAGTGCCTTTTTATATGTATTCTTTCACATTTAGAACTTAGTCTTTTCTAAAGTAATGTTCTATATTACCTTTCCACAGGTGATATGATAGTTAATATTAGGAATGCCAGAAGAAAATGGTTTAATTTAAGAATGTGATTAGGTATATCTGAATTTGATTAGGTATATTTGATAGTAAATGCTCAGAGGAGTTAGATCTGTTAGTACTTTTGAACATCTCTGCTATCCGAAACTACTAGACTGTCATCTCTTTTCAGGCGGAGACTTACACACCTTGGTGTTCTGGTACACAATTACCCAGAAGAGTGCTTTGTCCATAATAGGAGGTATTTTAAGAATGTATTTGACTGAGTTAATGAGTTTAGGATCCTAAGGAGAAATTGGAATCACCTGGTTGTAAATTACTACATTTTCTTAACAGTTTTAAGTTGATATTATTTCAAGATCCTCATTAAGTTAATTACTAAAGACTGTTACAGAATCAGTGAAAGGAAAAAAAATCTCATTTGTAGTAAAAGGGTAATAAGTCAAGATTAGGGAAGGAAAAACTCTTTCAGATAGGTTTGAATGAAAACATAATTGATGTCACCAAAAAATGGACTTTTTGTGGGTTGGATCCATTTTCATCATGACTCAGATATAATTTAGATCGACTCTTTCATTGATTTCCCAATAGAAAGATGTAGACAGACTGGAGATTTATTACAAATGAAAATTACTAATTATTAAAAGAAAGTCTGATGAACAAAGAAGGAATGTGGCTCTGCATATCAGTGACAACTACACTGTAGAGTCAGAAAAGTCAGCCCATAAACATGAGCAGGTTAAGGACAAGCTAGGGAAATGACAAATATCTCATTTTGGAAGTATCTTCTCTATTCACTAGTTGCAATACATAGATATAAAGTATGAAACAATGAAATCTAAGCAGTAATCGTTTTGAGGAACTATTTTGTTGATAAAGTAATTGACATTTATTTTTATTAAGAAGTAATATTACTTAGGCCAAAGCTGATTCAAGATGGAAAACTATAGGCTAATCACTGTTTTTTTATATTAATACATAAAAACCATTTTAATTGATTAAAAAACATCGAGTTGCCCAGTCATCTTGTATGATGACCTCACAATATTTTATAAGTATGAACTTAAAATAATTAGAATAAAAGGACAGGTTTAGTAAAGTGGTGTCGACCTAAAAATATCGACCTATTCCATATCAAAGTTTTAGCAGTGTCCTGGGGATAAAGAGGAATGTGGCCTATCTTCCTAGGCTGGCAATGTTTATTCCATATGAAGTAAAAATATTTCTATATTAGAACACATACCAATGTATTGATGAGCAAAATTTATATTAATTTTTAGTGTAAATCACAAGACTTCAGAGCAGTTTTAATTTGGCAGTGGATCATTTGTTCTGTCTTCCTCACCCCAGCACACTGACGAGTCTTTGGATACAACATTGGATGTTAGTGACGCTCTATACAGAGTATTTTTTTAGAAGGAAAGAAAAAAAATCCTGTGTCTTATGGCATGGGAATGCAAATAGCACAATGAATTTTCTCTAAACAAATCATTTTGTTTGTGTATATGTGGAATTTCAGATGGATGCCATTTTCATGTAATTTTATAATAGATATTTCTAGGTTCTTTGGAGTCCTTATACGTAATGATTTCTTGTTCTACACGCCTAGGTATTGATTAGAAAAATGGAATGGGAATTTTAACTTGTAATCCACATCCATGTGCATGGGTACCCTCACCTATTTCTCTCCTACCTATATTCCTCTTTCTCTCCAACACCTAACCTGTGGATTCCTTTCTTACTTTCCACATAAAACAACTAATTCATCAATAACAAAATGACAATGGCTTTCATCTATTTAATGTTTACTGTGTCCTAGGCAGTGTGCTAAGAAGGCTAAGCACTTTGATATACATGATTTTGTTAAATTCCCACAACCACCTTTAATGATGGATATACTTTTACTTTATGAATGAGGAAATTGAGGCTATGAACTTATGTAATCTCCCCTAAATTACACAGCTATGACTAAGAATTGGGTCTCAAACTCAGCTTTGAGCCAGATTTTATGTTGTAGAGACTTCCACATGCCAGGAAAAGGAAGGTTTTACCCTTGGGTATCAATAACTGCATGCCTTTTAGAGAAATGTTTGAGTATTTTATAAAGGGGGTAACCACCTGGCTACAAGCACGTGAGCAAATGGAAGAGGTACAATTGGTCAATATGAAGACCTTCAATTATTAACCAAGGTAATATCAGCCCACTTCTTAACCTCTCCCTCCATTTTCCAGAAATCTCTGATGCCAGAGCCTTTCCGGGGTTGTGCTGGACTGGTCAGATGCTTCCTCTGTGAGGCTGCAAGGCTACAGCTTGCTCCTCTCTGCATCCCCAGTTCCCACTCTTCTATTCATTTTGGCTTCTGGATGTGTGCTAAAATCTCTGGTCTGGTGATAGGTCCTCCCATTCCCTATATGTTGATGGTATAGTCACTTGTTTATTCCTTTACTATTAATTTAATGGGAACTGGAGAACAAGATATAAAGTCATATGTTCACTGTCTTGAACTCGAAACCAATGTAAATTTCACTTTAAAAGAACATGGTGAATTTGACTTTCACTTCTGGTTAGGATATAAAATACAAAAGAACTTTGATCCAGTGAAACATTAGAAAAATTCCAGATATAATAAACATAATCTTTAACGGTGCTTTTACAGAGTAGTATATACAAGCAAGTCTAGATGAAATAAATCCCAGAGAGAGATGAATTATTCACAAATAAGTAGAGACTGCAGCAGCTTCTATACCTGAGGCAAATGCCTGTCTGGGTGCTGGTAGGTGAGAAGTGGAGCTACCATGGACTAGGAGATTTCACAGGAAAGAAGGAAACTGGCTGAACTGTTGACAACATCGTAGCCTGATGAGAGGGGTCTGCAAGAGCGTTAAGTGCTTGACCCAACAATTCTCCTGGCTATTTTTCCTGGAATTTTGCCAAGAAAGTAGCTATGGAGGAGGACCCAGTAAGCAAAGAGAATTTGTGTAGCTTTGCATGTCACACTTAATTGCCAGAGTTGGAACCAAATTTGAATCCTAACTAAACTGAGACTGGACTCTTGTTCCAGTTCAAACACTAAAAAGATCAAATTGCTTAATCTCTTGGCAAATGAGGCATAGGAGGTTAGGGATTGGACTAACTGGAGCTGAACTCATTCTAATTAAGGCTGCAGCCCAGCTCCAGCTCAGTTCAACTTGTGGGGGATTCTGAGGGACAGGTCCCTCATGCTAACCAGCACAGAATGAATGGCATGCACTCTGAACACACACACACACACACAAAATTACACTTTACTCTCCACTGTTCTTTTATGCACAATACAGAATAAAATTTTTTAAATTATGAGATATATGAGGAGGGGAGGAATTGGACCCATTTTCAAGAGTAAGCAGTCAACAGACAGAGACTTGTAGATTACTAGCAGACAAGAACATTTTAAAAAAGTAATGTTGAGGAATTTACAGGAAAGAATGGAGATGAAGGGCAAAGAGATAAGAAATTTCAGAACCAAATGGAAGTTTTAGAACTGATAAATGTATCAGAAATTTTTAAAAATCGCTGTATGGCACTTATGCAGGGGAGCAATGCCTGGCATGGGATATCAGAGCAGGTGGCAGAAACCACAAAGAGAAGTGATCTGGCATGGGCTAAGGAGGGCATCTGCACCAGGGATAGGGAAGAGATGATGATGGGAGATTGGTTACATAAGGAGGGAATTATCCAATAAGAAAAATAAAGAGAATAGGAAGAGATTCTTCTGTTCAAGAAAGGAATTGGAAATATGGCAATGGAGAGAACTAGAAAGATCCCTAAGGTGTAGGATTGGAAGAGGAAGTATCAGGTAGGTAGAGAAATTAATATAGATGTACATATGTGTAAATACATGTGTGTGGTATTTTTATACATATAATCCCTAGCTTTGTCTACTAAGAGGGCCTGAGATTATCAATGCCCCAATAGCAATGAACACACCTAGATTCTAGATCATAGCTTCTGAATATTTTTCTCCACTAAAAGGAACCAGGGCTCTTTGGAGAAATAACTGATTACTTCTGATTTCTTTTGCTGGAGCAGCAAAAAGCAAGATGAGTTTGTTAGTTCCAGAAAGCAAGCAGTGCTCACAGAATTATAAGGACAAGACAAAAAGGCATTAAAGTCATCCAGAAGTAACTCCCAATGGCCAGAGCTGGGACAATTTGAGCATTAAAATAAACAATGATAGTAACAGACTATAGCCCATTGAGTAACACAGGAAACTCTATATGCCCATACTGATATAAATAAAGTAATAAATGAAAACTGTGATAAAGAACAGGATAGTTACATTACAAAGAGGCGTAATAAAAAAATCAATAGAAGAGGTAAAATAGAATACTAAAAAAAATACTTGATTAATCCCAAAGAAGGCAAGAAAGGAAGAACAAAGGAACAAAGAACCAATAGGACAAAAAGAAAACAAATAGCAAGATACCAGATTGAAAATTAACCATATTGATAATTACATTAAATGTAAATGGACTAATGGCTTCAATTAAAAGTCAGAGATTGTCAAACTAGATCAGAGTTTTTCAACTTCAGCATTTTGAGCCACATAATTCTTTACTGTAGGAGATTGTCCTTTGCACTGCAGGATGTTTGACAGCGTCCCTGGCCTCTACCTGCTAGATATCAGTAGCACTACCCCTCTCTTTTCAGTTACCACAACTAAAATTGTCT